CCGACTAGTCAGACCACAGTGGGGAAAGACTCTATGAGGAGGCTTTTACTAACATGGAAACCAAGCTGCTAAGTCACACCCCAAAGCCAGCCCGTTTTCTCTCTTTGAGGTGAACAGAAGCGGCCAGAGTAATGACCCTCTCATCCCCTAAAGTCCCAAAGTACGGCGGAAGGTTTGTCTGGGGACAAACGTCATCAATACTTTTGCAAAGACGTTCAATAACGTAAACTGATGCACACAAATACAACAAACTGGAGACTGACTAGCAGCAAGCGAACCTCAAAATAAGTTCAGCAGCACAGATCCGCGTCGCATTCTGGAAACTTCAAGCTCTCCGCTGCGTCCGTATCACGCCTTAGCTGCTGCCCACCTCGCACAGTGGGCATGTCCCCAGCGGGCACATTAGACCGCCAGTCTCGCTCTGCGTGAGGCACTGCCTCTGAACGCCGGCAGCTGCTCCTTAGTCTCTCCTCAGCTGGGTTACCCACGATGGAGTCGCTCGTCTCTAGCCTGTGGTACTGTTTGGCCTCCTACTTTTCAAAGTTCCGCCATGTCGTCAAGATGTAGCGGTAGGTGAGTGTTTGCTTTAGAATCGTGTGCAGTGGCACAGTTCAGGAAGGGAGAAGGAGGCTGGCTGAGTGGGGAATGCGGACACCAGAGGGGCCCGGGGCTTGTCCTGGCCGTGGAGACCGCGGCCGCCTGGGCTGCACGCCACAGACGCTTCCCAACGGGCGGGAGGCGCATCACCGCGCCCGGGAGGGACGGAGGCCGCTGGAGCGCCGACCGCAGGCTCGTTAGCCCCCAACTAGAAAGCGAAGCGCGACGACTCAAAGAGGCAGGTGAGTTCTGTCCCCTTTCTGACTTCCCAGAGGCTGGGCGGAAGTCCACATGAAGGTGTGACGGAAACCGCAGCCCACGGGTGACCGGCCTGAGGCGGGTCCTCACCCAGCAGCTCTGCCCACCTGCCCTGCAGGCTGTCATTCCCGCAGCTCCCGGCCATTGGTCTCCCCTAGACGTCAGCGGGCATTGGGAAAACAGAACACGTATGCCGCGCGTGCAGTAACCTGGGTGATACAGGCCTGACCCGCGCCGAGCAGAGCGTGAGCTAAACTGGCCGCAGGGGTGGACAAAGGCAGGCCCCAGACAGCCCAGGCCAAATGGCGGTGGCGGGAGGGGACGTGGAGATGCTGCAGACCTCGGACTGCGCATTTCGACTTGCTGAAAACAGCAGGCAGTGGAGTTGCATTAACTACAAAAGCTGGGAGGTGCCCACCTCATTCGCCTTGGGGCCCAGGAAGGGTGACCCCAGATAACCTTCCCTCAGTGCCCTCAGGCAGCCTTAGGCCTCACCACAGTGCTTCTCAGGTGCAGGCTGAGCACGCGGCCCAGAGGCGCCGACCCAAGCTGACCCGCGGGACACAGGCCGGAGGGGGCCACTCAGCCCCCCGCCTGGGGAGGTGCTGCAGCGGGACTCTAGGCTCTGCGCAAGGACCCTGTGTTGCTAAGACAGCCTTGGGGTTGGGGCCCGGCGTGGGCAGAGCCAGCCAGAGCTCAGTACTTCAAATCAGTGTTTCTAGATCCCCGCAAATTCAGACGTTGTCCGACACCCCTGGGCCGTCTGATCGGGCCCACCTCGAGTCCGGCTCCGTTCGCCTTGGCTCTGCACGGGGAGAAACGGGCGGACAGCCGCCTGCGCACGCGCCTGCCGGCCGCAGCCCACCGGGAGTGCGCCGGGAGCTGCCCTGCCGGCCCTCTCCCCGTGCCTGTCCCCTGGTCCTTCCCAGGCTGACACTCCGCCGCGCTCCGCACTCTGGGTCTCCTCAGCCTGCCTCGTCGCCAGGCTTGCTGTGAAGCTCGAAGCTTTTCTGATCTTCTGATCCGTCAGCCTGTGCCACCGTCTGCGGTCTGTGGCTTCAGAGCCTCGTGCTGAAAGCGCACAGGGCCCCCCAGAAAGCACACCTCGCGGCCCTTCCTTCCGACTGAGATGAGGCTCCTGAGGAGTTAAAGGAGGAAACGAGCCTGGCCGTGGCCCGGGCCTCCTGCTGCCTAACAGGGCAGTGAGCCCATTAGCTGCAAGTTCCAGGACGTGTGGCTGGAAGGAGTCGTTCATTTGTTCATGCTTCCAGATACCAATTTGCCTTCGGCCTTGTTTCGGAAGCGAGTCCTGCCTAGGCCCGCTTAGGTCAGTTTAGCCTTACGGAAAACAGCTAAGAATCTCTGCGGTCTGTCGAAATTCTGTTTGACCCGAAGAATTTTTATTGGCCCCTTTACTGTGACCTTCCCTAATTGGCACAGGCTGCGCAAACACCACACGGCAGTCAGCGTTCCTGCGCTTTGCAGCTTTCTATGAGAAGAGGAAACAGGCCACCCATGGCGAGGAGAACAGCGGCCGCAGCGGGCGCCGGGCGGTGTCCACCACACACTGAATGTGCCCCCCGCACCGGCTGGGCGCTGGGGCCGTCCGCTCGCGGAGGCAGGGCGCCGAGGCACCCGAAAGGCCGCTCTGACCCTCGCGTCCCACGGCGGGGTCACGCTGCCCAAACGGGGAGCGGGGTCCCACGCGGGAAGCGTCTGTGTCAGCATCTCAGGATCTAGCAGCTGACTAACAGGATCTAAGAGTTGCTAAAACTCCATTAGCTCCATCTCTCTCTTCCATAACGTGCTAAAAATATACCGCTATTTTAATAAAACCCACCTTTATTTATTCCAGCAGACTGATGTCAGTCTGGCTATGCCTCTACACCAGCAGCTATAGGTAAAAACCTGTCACACTTCATTACATTCCAGGAGAACGGGGCGGCAGCAATCCAAGCCAGAACCCAAAGCCACTGGGGCAGAGGCCGGAGAAGGCCTCCGCCGTGGCACCGTGGCCACGGTGTCCGGGTGGTGGCGTGGGCTCGCAAACCAGGGCTGCGTCAGTGATGCCCGACACTGTTCTAATACAGAGATGAGCACACTCGTCTGCTGAAACAAAAACCAACTGCTGCCTGCTGGAGGAAGGGCAACCATGAAGCAAAGCATCTACTGGCTGCTAGGCTGTGCAACAGGAAAGCCGGGAAGAGGTCTTGTCCTGGACGACCACAGATAACCCAACGATGGGAGGCCACCAGCTCCCAGCCACCAAGGCGGCCGCAGCCCACGGGGGCTGACGTGGCGGTGCTGCGGGGAGAGGGCGCCCCTGGGCCAGGAGTCTCGCCCCGCCAGAAGGCGGCCAGAGCCCTCCCCACACCCTCACCGAAACGTGCGCTGCCATTCTTGTCAGCCTCCGCAGAGGCGGGGGCGTGGCGTGTGCCCTGCCCGTGTCTGGCTAGCCGCTGCTGACCGCTGGCCTTGCGCCGCTGGGGGTGAAGCCTGCAGCTGGCCCCCACCGGGGGCCCACAGCCGGGCCGGACCCAAGTGCTGCCCATGCTTTCCCAGAGCCTCGGCACAGGGCCTCCTGCGGCCTGGGTCTCCACAGAGGTTCCGTGGGGTGCGGAAGCCACCGCGAGAGCCGCAGGGGCCGTGGCTGTGGCCGTGGCAACCCAAAGGAAGGCCGGGCCTTCCTTTGAGGCGGCGGCCCGGTGTGTTTGCGGCACGTCCACTCGTTACTGTCCCCAAGGCCACACCATACTCGCAAGTGGACGGCAGCTGACGACCAGGCGCTCCTGGAGCGCGCCGCAGAGAGGCAGACGCGTGAGCGAGTCACCGAGCGGACGGGCAGGGGCAGGCCAGGCAGGGCAGGCACGAGGTGCAGGTGTCCCGGCGGCCGTCACTCACCCTCACTTTACTGTCTGATCCCTCAGCAGGGCGGCAGACACCGTGGGCAAGGGCGTGAGCCAGCGGGCTCACTGGCGGGCCCCAGGTGAAGCGCCGGAGGCCAGCCCCGGGGCTCCCGGGGTGCTGAGGGCCGAGCTGGGGACGCGGCAGGGCCACAGGGGGCGCTGTCTCGACTCTGCAGTGAGGGGCTCGGGGCTCACACGCTGTCCGCGGGGTGGAGGATGGACAGAGTGGCAGAGGGCCACCTCTGAGGGCGGGAACCGCTCCGCACCAGGCCGGTCGGAGGGAGCCACGGCCGCGGGCTCCCAGAGGCTCCCCAGAGGCTCCCCAGAGCCCGCCCGCCGCGCTGCTGCTCGCGCCAGTGAGCGTGAGAGGTCCCCAGACAGCGGCTCCCGCTGGGTCTCCGCGCTGACACTGCTGTCAGCTGACTGGGGAAGAAACGGCCTCCCGCTTGCTCACTCCTCCAGGGAACTCACACACTCCACAGCCCCGGGGGCTTCGCTGCGCCCCTGGGGAGGCCCTGGGGGGCCTCGTCCACTTAGCCCTGCATTACACATGGGACAGGAAAACCACTCCCGTCATTACTGCCTGCTCCACCCTGGAGGGGAGGTGGCCAGGAGGGTGTGGTCGCTGATGGGGTGTGGTCAGGGATGGGGTGCGTGGCAGGAGGGGTGTGGTCACTGATGGCCTGTGGTCGTGAGGGGTGTGTGGTGAGAGAATTAAGTCAATGTAGCAGAACCAGTCTCCTGGCTATAAAATTAGAATACTTTTACAGTCACCCTACCGAGTCTGGAAACTGCCAGCGGGGTGAGGGTTAAGCTCCAGTACCAGCCTGACTTTCCCATGGGCATGACGGCACGAAAAGCCCAGGCTCCAGAAACCCCATCTTTCCCCCCTCTGGCATGAGTCTGCAAGTCTGCTCCGTGGCTCTTTCACGCTGCCGGGAGAGTTACAGGCATGCAGAGCTTTAGAGCCTCTAGCTAGCAGAAATGTGCTCTAATGAAACTATGTTCAAGGACTCTGGATGCCCAAAGTGAAAGCGGGGCGGGCCACAGGCTGAGGGGGAGGTGCGCGGCTCCCCTGGTAAGGCCGGCTGCGAGCGGGCCGCAGAGGAGGTGACCGCCCTTGCCCGGCCCCAGCACACAGCCCACTCGCTCGGCAGCAGATCTGGCGCCGGCGCTCCAGGGCAGATGACTTACTCCACCTCTGGCCATCTGGGCTGCGGGCGCTACTTCGGCAGCAAAGGGAACCAGGAACATGAGGTAGGTGGAGCCTGGATTCCCGGGACCTAGGCAGCCTGTGAGTCGCTCAGTCCTTCGTTGTTTTAGGATCATCAGTCCTTTCCTGGAGCTGGTATGCACGTACTGTGAGAAAATGAATTTTAAAAATACACACGTGAAACGCAGGCTGCTGACGGCTGGGCATCCTCAGGTGTTTTTCTCAACGAGGAGAGCCGACTTTGCAACCCTGGGTCGCTGGGGAGGAATCGCTTTCGCTGTCACAGTGCGCGGGGCTGTTCTTTCTCTGCATGGTTTTTCTAGGTTAACTTGCAATTTATGAACAAGCCTTATAAAGCTCCATTCCCAGAGAGGTAATTAACATAAATGTAGCAACAACTGGGATCTTCCTGGAAACGCTTCAGAAATTGTGACTTCAGGAGTTATTTGACTCATGCTGCTTTTACATTGTAAAACTCAGCGGTAACGGTTCTGCCAGAACAACATACATGAGACCCGCTGCTCCTGTACGTGGGGGAGGGGGCGCAGCCTGTGGGCACCCAGCAGCTCCTTTCACCCCCCCACGCAGGGAGGCTGCCTTCGCCTTGTACATTGTGGTCTCCAGAGCACTCGCAGAGCGTCTGGAAATATCGTGTGCTGTGCCTCTGTTGACTGCAGCAGAGCTACGCTCTTTTTATAAAAATGCATCTGAAATGTATGTGGCTGCATAGGACTAATATTTGGTGTTGAAAGGTCTGGGGTGGGAGATGCTAGAAAACACGTTCTACGGGAACGCCTTTGCTGTTCCTTCAAGAGCTTGAAAGAAGGCAGATGAATCCGTATTCGTTCTGAAGGAAACAGGACAGGACAGAGGTGCCAGGATCGACCTTGCGATCCTTCAAAATAACAGGCTTTAAAATCCTAACTCATTATTTAAAAAGTTTAGAAATAAGGAGGTCACAACTCAAACGCAGTCCGGCCCGCGTCAGGTGACTTTAGGGGGGCTGCGCGAACAAGTGACGCTTTGGCAGCTAGTTAACAAACGGAGATGTGTGTGAGGTAACTGGGTATAACTTTCGTTCTGCGCATGTGGGAACGGCCAGTGCCCACAGCCGCTGGAGAGCCGGCCTTTTGTGGGTCTTCTAGCTGGGAGACAGCCGAGGAGGAAAAGGCCGGCGTCCTCATCAAGTAAAGGCGCGTTCCTGAGGCTACATACAAGAAGGAAACCCCAAGTTAAGAGCTTCCCACACGTAATTTCCAGTGCACTGGAACTCATTCTGTGATCTAGGTGGGAATAACTGTCCCCACCCTTCTTTTAAGCAAAACGACAGGCAACAAACACACTGAAAACTACAGGCGTAACACACAGGCGTCTACCACAGCAATTGCAGGGACAAAGCCCGGCTTGACAGTCTCTCTAAGAATCTGGCACGTGCGACGCACCCGACTCCCGAGGAGTCGGGAGACGGCAGGTGCAGGCTGACACAGCTTCATGCGGCCGCGAGACGCGCAGGCCAGGTCTGCGCGCAGCACTGTACGCAGCGTGGCGAAGCCGGCGCTGGGACCAGGCGCCGAAGCCCCCCCAGATGCATCTTGTGCAAGAGCCACGTGCATGTATCTGTGGGGTCTCCGGTCTCCCCAACCCACTCAGTCTACATGAAACAGTATTTAGACTCAGCCTCCGAGGGGGACATACGCTGAGCCGCGGTGGACCGTCGCCTCCTGAGTGTAGTTCGAGGGGACAGTGGAAGAAAAGGGCGGCCTGGCTCTTGGCTGTCTGGCCATCGGCACTATTTCGTGTCTTTTTCTTAGTTACGTGAGAAGTTTGCTAGGAAGTTCCTACTCCCAGGCCTTCCATCTCACCTTGACCAATCCCCTGGCCCCTTTTCCCCTTCGTCCCCAACGGAGAGACAGTGCCCCTTTGCTACAACCGGAAACTAAGCCGCAGTGTGTGAAGGCAGTGAAGAGGTCAAGGCTAGCGAGGTTGCTAGTGGCCAGAAGCCCGAGGCAACGTGAGCAGCTCTCTGAGCGTCCCGCAGTGCAGCCGTCCCCACCACGGCCCCAGATCTAGATGCAAGGACACTGCTCTCGAGGCCGCACGAGCGAGGGCAAGAGTCTCGGGTTCCTGTGTCTGTCGTCGCTCTGGGAAGTGCGTGACAGTCTGTAGCTTGGAAAAATCCACCCGGGGGAATCACTCGGCACCCAGCACCAGGCCTCTCCTTGAGGGGCCCCCGGAACCTGGGCGACTGCCTGCAGGACGCGTCCTCCGGCCTCCAGTGAGTGGGGGTGGCCGTGTGAGACTCGCAGACTCGCTGTGACTGGGTGAGCGAAAGACCCCGTGAAGAGGAAGCCCCTCCCCCATCACAGTGGAGGCCTGTGCTCGCGCTGGCCACTGCCCACCGCTGCCTCTCCCGCGCCCAGGCTTCCCTTCCCACAGCCACCCGCACCTGGCACTGTGTGTCCGGCGCCCAGCAGGCTCTGAGCGTCAGCGGACGCTGCGGAGGAAGCCTGAGAGGCGGGTCGGCCTGATGCTTCTGCCGGCCCGGCCCCGCGGGCACCTGGCCCTGGCTGTCTAAACTCACCCTCCCTGACGCCCGGCCCCACGGGGCCTCTCCCAGATGCCGGGCGAGATGACGAGCTGGAGGTTTACCGACAGGCAGCTGTTACAGAGCAACACGCTCGTGCTGTTCTCTCCCTTGAAAGCTGTCAGGTTTCTGAGGGCAGCCAAGGTTGTTTTCCCCCCATTGCTTTCCGCGGGTCTCACAGAGTGTCTGGTCCTGGAGTTTCAGGGGCTCGGATAGGCAGGGTCCCTGGGACGGATTTGCTGTTTTCTCTACTTTCAAAACTACTGGAAATAGTTGCACTGGCTGTCGTGTATGTGGGTGACTGGTGTCACTGAAATCTATACCACGCCGGTTAAAACCCCGCTGGGGCCCGTGTCTGCACAGGGAGCCAGGCAGTGGCCCGCCGGCGCAGGCCGCAGTGCTGCGCGGAGCCAGTGTCCGCCTGGCCCCCACTAACAAGTCGCGCTCTCCTGCCCAGCTGGCCCGAGCTGCCCCAGGCTGTGCTGGCGCGGCGGCGCCTGCCCGCCACCTCCCTCGGCCCCCTTCACCGTGTCTCTCTCTCCGCAGCCGCGGCGACCCCAGGCTGATGCACCGGCGGCCGACTGTGCTCCGGGACAAGGGGCGCAGGCTGGCCAGCCGCGGGCCCGCCTACATGTTCAGCGACCGCTCCGCCAGCCTGTCCGCCGAGGAGGAGCGCTTCTTGGACGCGGCCGAGTACGGCAACATCCCGGTGGTGAGGAAGATGCTGGAAGAGTGCCTGTCCCTCAACGTCAACTGCGTGGACTACATGGGCCAGAACGCCCTGCAGCTGGCCGTGGCCAACGAGCACCTGGAGATCACGGAGCTTCTCCTCAAGAGGGAGAACCTCTCCCGCGTGGGCGACGCCTTGCTTCTGGCCATCAGCAAAGGCTACGTCCGCATCGTGGAGGCCATCCTGGGTCACCCGGCCTTCGCCGAGGGCAGGCGGCTGGCCACCAGCCCCAGCCAGTCCGAGCTGCAGCTGGACGACTTCTACGCCTACGACGAGGACGGCACGCGCTTCTCGCACGACGTGACGCCCGTCATCCTGGCGGCGCACTGCCAGGAGTACGAGATCGTGCACACGCTGCTGCGGAGGGGCGCGCGTATCGAGCGGCCCCACGACTACTTCTGCAAGTGCGGCGCGTGCAGCCGGAAGCAGAGGCTGGACGCCTTCAGCCACTCGCGGTCGCGCATCAACGCCTACAAGGGCCTGGCCAGCCCCGCGTACCTGTCCTTGGCCAGTGAAGACCCAGTGATGACGGCGCTGGAGCTCAGCAACGAGCTGGCCGTGCTGGCCAACATCGAGAAGGAGTTCAAGGTAGGTCAGGTCGGGTGCCGCCTCCCGCCGGCCAGTGGCCGCCGCTCGGGGCCTGCCCCGTGCTGGCCGCTGTGCACGGCCGGCGGGTCGCCTCTTTTCTCTACAATCGCGTGCTCTGGGCAGTGAAGCGTGCTCACGGACAGCTAATCAGATCTAGCATACATGAAGTATCTTCCACTTACTCCTCCCGAGCCTTGAGAAGATACTAGCCCGTCTTTAAATGGAAGTGTGCGAAGGTAAACCCCGGCTCCAGAGCAGCAACTAGGGAGCAAAGCGGTCAGAGCGACCAGCCTGCACTGGGCCCAGCACGCGTGACTGGCCAGGAGGCCGCGAGGGGGCAGTCAGTTTGCCCGGAGAGCAGACAGTACGTCGGTAAACAGGGCAGAGGGCTGGGGACGCACTCTGTATGATTTAGAGGAGCAGGGTCGCACCCCTCAGGAGTCGGGCCATGCCGTACCCACCCCCAGGCACCCAGAGTCCCTGACCATAGCCCACGGCCTCCCCTCCCCACTTCGACTCCACAGTCAGATTCCTAGGCCTGATTTCAGCTCAGCCTTTGTTTTGTTTCTCTGTATTGCACAGATATGTGACACCATCCAGTACTGCCTTTTCCTTCTAATTTATTTCATTTAGCAAAATCCCCTCCAGTTCCACCATGTTGTGAAGGGCCATTTATCTTTTCATATGGCTGCATGGTATTCGAGCGTGCACGCTTGTGTGTGTGGGTGTGTGAGACATCTTCCTAACCCACGCATCTGCCTTCGGGCACGCAGGTTGTTCACAGCTTGGCTATCTTAACGCGCAATGCAAGGACACAGGAGCAGACACCCCTCGAGTGAGTGCTGCTGTATTCTTTGTACACACCTCGGCGGGAAGTCGTCAGATCACATGGTAGATCTACTTTCAGTGTCTTGGAGACTGCCTGTGTTTTCCAGGGTTCCTGGCTCTCCAAACTTCACAGACATCTGCTGTCTCTGGTCTTCGTGCTGCAGGCCACTCTCACAGGGAGGTGGTATCTGCTCGTGGCTCTGACTGGCACGCCCCTAGGTGACCAGTGATGTTGTGCTTTGTCTCATGTGCCTTTGGCCACCTTCAAGTCTCCAATGGGAAAGTGTTCAGTTCTGCCCATTTCTGATGGGTTATTTATTTCCCCTTTGTTGAACTGTGTTAGTTCTTTGTAGATCATGAATCCCAGGAGATACTGTCACCCATTCAGAAGGGTGTCTTTAGTGAGTTGGCAAGTTCATTTTGCTAGGCAGAAGCTTTATAATTTGGCATGATCCCAATTATTTATATTCTCTTTGTTCTTATTGCTATTGGAGATAAATCCACAAAAATATCAATTATTAAAGCCTATGTATTGAGGGGCCTTGCATATGTTTTCTATGCATTTTATAGTTTCATGTCTTAAGCACCAAATCTTTTATCCATTTTGAGTTTTTTTATACGGAGTGAGAAAGAGGCCTAATTTCATTTTTTTGAAAATTTAATTTATTTATGCATACAGATCTGGGGTACAGGCCATAGATGCAGGGGTGGTGAGAGGATTCACCAGAGACAGAGTGAGGAGCAGAACAGGCAGATTGAGGAAGTACACTGCTGAGGGGAGCAGGGGGGAGACAAGAGAGATCTGCTGTGCCATTTGGATCTCCTGCCCGGGGATTGAACTAATGCTGAATCAGCTGTGGCCAGCTTTGTAGTGCTTTGCTTTAACTTAACTGTGGTGCCACCAGGGAGGGCCCAGGCCTGATTTCATTCTTTTACATGTGGCTGTCCAGTTTTCCCAACACCATTTACTAAAGACACTTCACTTTCCAAAATATGTACTTTGCTCCTCTATCATAAATTAACTGTCCATATAAGTGTGGGTCTATTTCTGGAAACACAACGCCATCCCATTAGCTTGTGTGACTCTTTCTGTCATAATACCATACTGTTTTGATTAGTCTAGAGCCTGGAAATGTGGTACCATCATTCTTCCTCTTTTTTTTTTGGTCAGGATTGCTTTGGTAATTTGGGGCCATTTGTAACCCATAATCACACGAAAGCTTTATCCATGTATTATAAACAACATGTGAAATTTTTGAGTCCTGAAAATCCTCCCAAGTCACATAAAAAGAAAAAGAATCCTTCTCACTAAGTAAAAGGGGTCCTGGATCTAATTCCAACATGGCAGTGCATGGAGACATCTCCCACCCACAAGCACCTAACAGCTGGGTGTCTGAGGACAGCTCAGTCAGCTTCACTCTCACACCATCTCATCTGTCTGGAGACAACATCAGGCTCTGCAGGTAAAGGGCTCAGTTTACCCCCCACTTCAGACCACAAACCCACACGGAGGTTGTTATCTGTGCCTCTATAATCACTAACAGATATAAGTCAGGGACCTCATGACCTCTCCTCAAATTCCACTGATTTGCTAGAGTGGCTCACGGAACTCAGGGAATCTGCGTACTAACCTAATCACCAACTTACTGCTGAGAATATAACTTGGGGCAGCAGTTGGAAGAGGAACATAGGGCACGGCCATAGGTGATGGACATGGATCACCCATGGCCTCCCAGCTGTTCCACTCCCCACCTGGACTTCCAGGCATTCACCCAGCTGGAAGCTTTCTGCACCCCACTCCTTTGGCTTTTTATAGAGGCCTTACTTTCAGACAAGATGGTTAACTCACTGGCCTTCGATTGATTCAACTTCTAGCTCACTTCTCTACCTTTTAGGGAAGGGCAGGGACGGAAGTCCCAACCCCCTGCACCTTGGCTCTCCTGGCCGCCAGCCCCGCCCTTAAGTGTTTCCAGTGGTCTCCCGCTCCATGGAATGTGAAGCACCTTTCTCACTCTCTGCATTCAGGTCATGTCCAGGGTTGGTGACTGCGAGCCAGGAACTATGCATGAAGAGCAAAGACCAATCTTATCAGTCCTAATTTTCTGCCTTCCCCATTTGAGAGGCCTTCCCCTCTAGGTAAAATGATACATCCCAAAGGTGAGTACCCAGAACAGCTTAAAAGAATCACTAACATTTAAATTCAGGAAGAAGTGGCTTGTGCATCGTTATCTCCCACAGATCCCTACTGTAAGACCCTCATTCAAGAGGGATGTGTTCTCTGACAACTGTCCAGGAATAAGGATGGGAAGGAAACCTAAGCTTGTGCTCCTGTTCCCACAATGCACCAGATGGCTGAATTCAGAGCACCCCAAAATGAACCAGCATGTTTATTTCTGCCACTAAGCTTCATCTTCAACAGAAATGTGTATTAGGGCAGGGAAATTATTGGCTCCATGGATGGGCGAGTGTGGAGTTATTCTGTACAGGGCTGAAAGACTATATTTCCAAGGAAATATAATCAACGTGGAAACTGATGACCTTAGGGTTATCAGTGTTTGATAGTTTCATGGGGCGTCTTCACACACCTCTGTGGGAAGACAGTGCCTTTATTTTGTGGGAGTTGGCTAGTGAGGACTCCAGTGAGCTCCACTATATAGTTCCACTAAGCTCCCCCCAAGTCGTCCCTTTCCATGAAACAGCCCACTGTCCATGAACAGAAGAGCCAGAGCACGACAGGGTCATGCGGCGATTTCAGCCTGGCACCTTGACTCTTTGCACCAAACAACTATTTACTGCCCATGCCACCGGGCATGCAGCTGCCCCACGCAGCTACCCCAGATAGCCACAGCGAAACCGAGCTATCGGGTGGAGCCAGAGGAACACGAAGACAAGAGACAGGCCTGAGGAGAAGCAGATCTTTGCAGGAATGCAGCACAGGCTGTGGCCCAACACACAGACCTGCCCAGGCATGCTGGGGGTGGGGGGCTGAGGTACAAATGCTCCGGGAGACCAGCACAACCAGGGACTCAGCGCACATCGCGCCAACCACCATCTGCGAGATTTGACAATTGCTAAGAGTAGATCCGAACAGCTCTTGTCCCGAGGGGGAGAAAGCACTTTCCTTTATTATTATTATTATCTTTCTTCACACTTACATGAGCTGGTGGGTGAGGACACAGAGGCCGTGGCGCTGTCTCACCACACGCCAGGCACTCACTGTGCTGCGCACCTCAGCCTCACACCCGGAGCGCGTCACTCACCGCTGTGACGTGGAAGGGGGAAAGAGGAGGGCGAGGACAGATTCAGTTTCTCATCCACTCAGATCAAATGTTTTGCTTTTGTGAAGCAAGGCTCCCGCCACCTTCAGGTTGGACGAGGCCTGGTTTTGGCAGGCATATCAAAGCAACAGCAGAAAGAAGCCAGAGCAGTGTGGCTGTCTGGCCCCCAAAGAGCCGCGCGTTCCTGGCTCCTGCCCTCTGCTGGGCTCGGCTCAGATGGGAATGATGAGCCTCAAGGTGGGCGCCAGCCCTGGTGGCTTGGTCAGCGAATGCCTTCAGCGGATGCCCTGTCGGCACCTCAGGCCACACCGTGACTTGTCTCTCCCCCTTTCCCTGGGCCTGTCTGCGCCTCAGCTGCGGCGGTGTGGTGGCTAATGGCCGTGCAGTCGCCCTCATGGCGGGACCAGCTTCTCTGTCGTTCTGCTTGGCAGTGTTGGCAAAGCTTCGTGTCTCCTGGGCCTGGCCAGTCTTGCACATGGCCTCCACATGCCTCTGCCTGTGGCTCTGAGGAAGAGGAAGGAGAAGAAACTCCTGTCGGTCTGTTTGCAAACCGGTTCTATGTTCTGGTGTGCAGAGGGTCTGGCACTGTTTGAAGCAGAAAGATCCTCTAAGAAACTTGGGGTGAAGGACCATTTTATTGGCAGACAGGCAGGGCACAGTTATCGGTGTAGACGGGTGATACACGGTGTGACTTAGAAGCTCCCTGGTCTGTGAGGCAGAAGCCCTACTTCAGAGGCAGCATGCTACCCCCTACCCCCGGGAGGAAGAGGACAGGACCACGGGGGCCCTGGTCAGGTGTCTGAGAGATGTACACACTGCCCTGCGTGTGGCCACTGCCACCGTTTCCATAATTGGAAGAAATGAGCGAAACTGAAGTGGCCTTTGTGCGATCACACAATTATTAAGTAGCAGAGCGGGAATTCAAATCCAGCTAAGTGTTGCATCCACACCACATCCCCTTCTTTATATCCCCCAACGCAATTTTTGGTAGACCTACTATGTGTCACATACCTTGCCAGATGAGTAAGCTGTAGTACGTGTGACAGAAGACATGAGTCTGTTCAAAAGAGGCGAACAACACACACACAGGAAAAAATGCAGAAAAGGGTGGAGTGTATTCCTGCAGCATTGTAGCCTCTCTGGAGGGAAGTTAATGGGTGTCCTGCTCCGTGAGGGCCCAGCCCTGAAGCCACTGGCTCACCTTCCTCACTGCTCTCCACGCATCCCAGCTTCCACGGACCTGCGTGTTTCCACGCAGAGGGAAGAGTAAGAGCAGTCACAAGCACACCAGGAAGTCACTCAGCGACCTGGCTGGTGGCCATCATCAATCATGATGTCCCTTGCATCTGACAGCAGGGAAAATTATTTCTTCAGCTCTTACTTGCCACATCGCTTGTGTTTCTGCCTTTTCTCCCAAGTAGTCTCTGATGGACATTTACCTCACTCACCAGCCCCCGCCCCGAGAAGCCCTGCCGACGCTTGATGATTATCCACATCAGCTATAAGAGAGCCCGTGACCAAGGGCCAGCTGGGGGACGCATACTGCTCCGCTGCGCAGGGGAGCTCAGTGGCACACATGGCCCTGAGAAGCACAGCTGCCCGTCACCCCACAGAGGTGGCCACGGCCTGTCTTCCTCTCCAAGTTCGTCATCTCACTTCCCAGCCCCCGTCTTGGCAGACTGCGGTATCCAGCACCGCGGGAATGCCTAAGGGAACCATGTTTGAATTTTCGATCTATTTTCAGCGTGCACCACGGGACCCCACATGCCTTGGCACTTGCTAGCACGGCTGTGCAGCGCGGGCTGGGCTGCCTGGGCAGTGCTTGTGAGGCACGGGGACAATGACAAGAAGGGCTGGGATCGCGCCACTCTGTAGGGAGCTGGCGTCCCGTAGCCTGTAAAGTCCTCATGGCAACCCCTGGAACCGAGTGCTCTAATGTTCCCTTGTTACCACCGGGATTTTGAGGCTTTACGGGATTAAGTCACTTGCCCAAAGTCCCACAGCTCGTCACTGCCTGCCTCTAATTCCAAAGCCAGCACTCACCCCCACAGTCCCATGGGGGGTTACTGAGCACTGAGGCACATACTTCTTCCCCCTCTATAAGTTTCCATGAAGCAAACACCTTTCTTTACAAAGAGCGCGCCAGACATTAAAATTCTCGATTGGAAGAACTTTTCTCACTAAATATGACAAAGATGACCTTTGAGAAAGTAATTTTAACAGGACATTTGTATGTCTTAGCATCTCTAAACCCTGTTCTATTAGTCCACTACCAGCCATCTGTTTTCAACTCAAAGGTTAATATACGGGAGCGCCCACTTCTGATCTATTGCTGTAGAGTGTGGGTGTCTGACCAAGAGGGGACCCAGAATTCATCAGACCACCAGCTCCACTTTCCTCTCAAGGACCCAGAAATTCAGAGCCACATCAGGGGAGTGAACTGCCTACATTTCAGTCAAGGAGTTCACACGTTCATTTGAGAAAACTATAGGTACGAAAAGTAAATGGTTCTCCAAGGTGGGGGTGGGAGTAGCATGCATTTCTAGAAGCAGTCTTCTTATTGTTTTAAATATGGGGGGGGTTGGGAATTGTTAAGAATTTCGAGGTGTTAGACGGCACTGAGCTCCTGCATGCCCCGTTCCAGTCCGTGTGGTTTCTCATAGAGTGTACCCCACACTGGAAGGGTCACACTCTCTTAAAATATCTGGTTCCACCTGAGTCTCTTCAAAATTCTAGAGGACGCTGACTGGCTCTGTCATATGAGGGATTCATGTGTTGACATAAATACATTTGTTAAATATACAGACGTTTTTGTCTTTCAAAGGACAAAGGCTATGTCCAGACCTACTCTGCCCTGCCCGTGGGATGCCAAGTCGCTGCGTCTGTCCTGGCTCCAGGGGCTCTCATAGAGGACATGAAACCACTTTCGGATCATGTTTTTGATGTTAGCTAATCCACAAGTTTTTCCTGACTATTTACCAAGCTCAGCGCCCTGCTAAACCTCCAGCCTGTGTGATCTTGTTATCCAACGTGAATCAGGCTGCCTGACTGTGGTCCTCACCCTTGTGCTTAAGATTCAACTGCAGGCACACACAAAGGCTGCTAATGGGTTTATGTACAAAAGAAAGGGAAATGTGTAACGCAAGGAAGGAGAGAGAGGGAGATCATTTGGTTAATGGGTCCTACCAGTTCTGCTGACCTGGGACCTCAACAGCATGCTGAAAGCCGGCATAAAGCCAGATACAAGCTGTGAGCCATGAGGCCAAGAGACCCCCAAAGCCCAGAGGTCCGGTTTTATGTCCAAACATCACTGCTTAATCCCTCCCTCAGGCCCAGCGTGCTTCTCTTTGTGATGCTGGGATCTGTAGTTCCGGTGTCTGGGGTGGGGGTGGCTTCCACAAACCCTGTGTCTGGAGAGCTCCTTCAGGACAGCTCTCCCCAGCAATCTCTTTAACGCTTCATGTCACTGGCCTTCTTTCTCATTCATAAACTAAGAATGAACTAACATAAACTAACAGCACCTGCCTCGGGATGGCTGTGCCCCCGATCATGTGGTTGAAACACAGAGCGCTGGGTTAGACTACAGGAAGCTCCAACCGAAAGCCCAGACCTCTGACGCCAGGCCAGAGTGGACCCAGAACGCAGCCCATGGGCACCTCTCCACCTCAGCCTGTCCCTGGGGCCTGGCCGGTTATTCACGGAAGGACTGAAGCTGTTTCTCTGTGACCAGCTTACCCTAACTACCCACCAAGACCCACATCCCTCAACCGCATGAGAGCCGACCCCAGCCACTGTGTCCTCAGTGGTGGTCACAGATGCTTTGGACCCGCCACTGGCAAAGTGTGGCCAGCTTAGAAGCTTCTCAGTGAGGTGGTGGGGGCGCTTTGCTGGGCCGCAGGGAGGCGTCCGGCGGGCACTTTCGCACACGACCGGGTAGGACACTGTTTTGCAGAGACTGGCCAGACACCCCAAGACATCCCTGTGGGGTCCGCACGCAGACCCACCCTCAAACCTAGTCCCTCCAGAGGGATCTTTTCATCCGACCTGCACTGCTGCCTCCAGCCAGAGGAGACAACTGCCTCTGAACCCGCAGCACTGGCTTTTAGGGTACGCTTGCCTCTGAAGCCACAGCTCAGGAAGACTGAGCTTTCTCATGTGCCAAATGGGAACCGGCCTGGCCTGACTTGCTCCCAGGTCTCCCAAGATCTGAACATGAGCCCACCTGCCAGAGGAGAAACGGGGGCGCCGTTTTTAAAGGCAGAGGGTTGGGCCCCAAACAGAATTAGGTTTTGGTAACAAAACCTGGTTCTGACACAGAGCGGCTGCCCAATCTCAGATGCATCTTTAATTCCCTGAGCAACACCGAGAAGCCAACTGGAAATGAAGTGCTCGGCTATGGGCTGCCTGACGAATGCTGGGTGAGAAGTGGCTTTATTTCGACGCGAGGGAGTGAGAGGAAGGACGCGGCGCCCGAGGAGGCCGCCGGCTGGGCGGGCTCCACTGCTTGACTAGGGCCTGCACTCCCAAGACTCTCCCGACACATGACGAGGTCGTCGGAGGCGAGTTACCACGAAAGCATGCTCATTAAACTTCGTTTTCTCCAAAGAGAAGGATTTCGGTCAGCACACTTCCCATTAGCTAACATTAGTGCTCTGGGTTAGTACTTCCGCAGAACCTCTCCCAGCGGCCCACTTACCACGTGAGAGAAAACAGTTTACAGAGTCTCCCAAAGGCCTTTCTTGCCTGCTGATGCAGTTACATGAGTATGGAGTGTCCAGAATAGTGGGCAAAGGTGTCTGCTTTGCCGTTCTCCCGATCCACAGGTGAGTGTGGCCCATCCAGCACTTTTGGTAACTCTGGTGATGGTAAGCAGATTCCCCTTGTTAAGATCGGAAGGAAATCTTCGCAGCGCAAAGATATTTCAGAGATCACGCAGCAAAACAGCAAGTAAAAAGCGTGTTGAAAGAACAGTAAGCTGGGCCATACCGATGGCGCAACAGGCTGAATGAAGCGCAGCACCGTGAAGCAACCATAGCAGCTCCAGCACGAGTTTGATCCCTGCCAGGGCAACCCCCAGGGCGCGGCAGCCCTCTCCTGTCTCCTCACTGCTCCCCTCAGCAGTGGGCTCATCCCTCTGCCAGTTCTGCTCCCCACTCTGACTCTGGGGAGTCCTCTCACCAACCTCTGCACCTCTGGCTTGTACCCCAGTTATGTATGCATAAGTAAATAGATCTTTAAAAAAAAATAAAATAAACTGAAAAAAAAATTTTTTTCCCAGCAAACCATCAGCTCACTGAAAAACTCTGCGGCGTATCATAGTAAAACTTAAAAGTGCTACTTCTGTGCTACTGGGTTCTCTTTTCTTTGTCTCTCCTAGAACGACTATAAGAAGCTGTCAATGCAGTGCAAAGACTTTGTTGTGGGGCTCCTGGATCTGTGCAGAAACACGGAGGAGGTGGGAGCCATCCTGAACGGGGATGTGGAAGAGTGTCAGGGCGGCGGAGACCACGGCCGGCCGAACCTCAGCCGGCTGAAACTGGCCATTAAGTATGAAGTGAAGAAAGTAAGGGCGGCGGGCGCGGCCCTCCCGTGCACCACTCGCTCCCGGGTTGGGGGGCGGCGGGCGCGGCGACACTGGCTGGGCTTGTCTCGCTGACGGCAGCAGAGGCGGCTCCTTTCGTGAGCACAGGGCCTCGGGTGATGATCCCTCGGGTGGATCATCTCACGGAAGATCCACCCGGAGGGTCAGAGCGCGGCAGGGATCGCAGCTTCCTTTAACTGAGGACACGACAATGACGGCGGGTGTCCGGATCACTTGGCGCCTGCTGCATTCCATCAAGTGAGATCCAAGTCCGTCTCCCCACCCGTCGACTCGGCCCAATCTGGGAGCAAAGCCCCCAGTGCCATGAACTTGAGTCTTCTCCCACTGCCCCTTCATCTGTGGGATCTTTTTAGTCTCCTCGCGACACCCTCCCTTGACCACCTTCTCAGGTTGCGTAAGCTATCTTAACAGAAACAGTTTTCACAGCTGTATCTGGTAACAGAAGTTAACACGAGCTTCCCGGAAGTTTGCCGACAGTCTAGACAGGCGTCCTTTCTTCCTCATCAGTTCGCCATGGAGCGTAATCAATTATATTTCTCCCCCCAAATTCATATTCTGGACAGCCTCATGCGGCGCTACATCATACCCACCTCCGTCCCCCAGGGCTCTATCCGCTTCATCTGAGCGCAATGAAGCATGTTGATCCTTTTCCTTAGGTTTTGTCCACGGTGAACAACCTTGTATTTTACTGAGTTTTGTTTTCTTTGTCTTTTCTAGAACGACTATAAAAAGTAAACATAAAGCTTGCTGACTTGCATGCATTGTATCTGTAGAAACAATTCCTAGCTACAGAATATGGCAGGTTTTTATTTTTTTAATTTCGGAAAGGTTTGCTAAGTTTCCTTTCGAAACAGGCACACTTGTTTACACACACACCAATATTTTTCCTTCCCTACTAGCACATGGGAAATACTAAAATTTACCATCCTTAGAAGATAAACTTTGTAACTTGTTTTAATTGCCTTTGAAGTTAGCCATGTTAAATAGTCATTTGCAGTTTCTTTATATATCCTGACCTTCATTTAATCTAATATTCTTTGCCAATTTTTATTCTGGGTTTGTAATATTTGTATATTATATAACATCCTCTGTCATATGCCAGATTCATTTGTTAGATATATTAGGTTAAAAAAATTCTGAAAACTGCAGTGAAATCATAAAGCCTTCTTAAAGATTTTGGCACAGAAATAAAAAGAGAGAACAGCAAAGTAAAACAGGCAGCCCAGAAGCAGACCCATCACCAAACAGGAATAGAATAACAATAAGATCAGCATCTAGGTGGGTAGGAAAGCTGAAATACTTTCTCTAAAAAGTGTTAAGACATTTAGAGGTAGCAGGGTGTTCAGGTCACTCCTTCCAGATAGAAAGTCCTTGTGTAGAACATGGCTAAACCTATTTCTAACACTAAATTTCCAAATTTGTCCTGTGCTTTGAAAGAAAGCTCATTTGCTGTCAGTGAACAGCGCGATGCCTTGTGCTTATCGCTGAGGATACGCATGCACACAGGTAGAGAGAACAACTCAGAACCTCCCGCCATCTTGCTCGATGTCCGTCAACTGGACGTTTTAAGTTTACTCTTTAATTCTAATGGTATTTTCCACCAGAAAGCACAGAACAAAGCACTGAGCACCAGCCTAGCTTACGCCGCACCGTCCTTTAATCACGCTGTTCCGTGTCGTCTCTCTCCTGCTAGTTTGTAGCTCACCCAAACTGCCAGCAGCAGCTCCTCTCCATCTGGTACGAGAACCTTTCCGGCCTGCGGCAGCAGACCATGGCGGTCAAGTTCCTCGTGGTGCTCGCCGTGGCCATCGGACTGCCCTTCCTGGCCCTCGTTTACTGGTTCGCGCCATGCAGCAAGGTAAGTCTACGGGGCCTGGCCTCGGCCAGCATCCAGGAGCACATCTGCTTGGATTTCTGGAGCCAGTTTAGCCGGGACAGCTTTTATCCCAAATGAAAACATCACGATGTCAGAGTCGAGTTTCAATAATCTTAGCATGTTTACTATTGCCAAAGGAGCATGCCTTTTCATAGGAAATGGAGAAAACCCTCCTGTAACATCACCACCCTGTGTGGCAGAGCCCTGAGCTCCCACACTGGGCAGCCTGTGTCCCCCGGCATGTCCATGCCTATTCTTCTCTACTTCTGAATGAGGGGCATAAGCACTGAGAGGATATTCCATACAGCATCCTGAAGGTAGGACATTTTTCCTATCTTTTTCCCCCTCCTCTGGCAAAATTGGAGATGGATGTTTTGTTTTATATTTTAGCTAATATGATCAATCAGTGTTAATTTAAGAAAAGGACAGTCATAAAAATATGAACAGACTGCTTGCTCCAGTGAAGAGTACTTATTTTGGGGACAGAGCACACTGTCACCGACAGCAAAGACAGCCTATTTTCTTGGCAAAATCTATCTTCTCAGACTTTGGTGAAAACAGTGCTCAGATGGACCTCGGCTTTCATTAGTGTGAAGAACAAGCTTGAAAAGTGTTGACCTGTCATTGTGTTCACAGGTGCAGAAAACTTTCTGTCCTACATTGTCTGTCACTCTCATTCTTCACGTTTTTGAAAGTACATATCTGGAATTGTCTAAGTTTCAACTCTGAAAGTGCGACTGGAATAATTCGAAAGGGCTCAAGTGTCGGCAGGACCATCTATTTCTGTACCACGTAGAAATGTCAGCTGAGTCACCTGCTGTTCTTAAATATGATTCATTTTCGAACATTTGTAAATGTGGGTGCGGGCACATGTATCACCACTCTCCACACAGCAGAAGTGAGCTCCAGCCTCTTCTGCTTCTCTTGGCGGGCCGTCGCCAGCCCTAGCGCCAAGGGTGCAGTGAGTGACAGGCAGAGGCACGCAGCCCCTCGGCGCTCTGCCGGCCCCGCTGTTCAAGCTTCTTTAAAGCTCCTTTTAGAAATCTGATTGCAGCTCAGAGCACACAGAGGACAAATTATACCCAAAGGGATCACTCACCTCATTCCCCAGACTTCATTGAGTGATGCCAAAATCTCCCTCACTTTAAAGGCAAAACCCAACTCTCGTCCCTCGGTAACGAGGAGTAGGAGATAGAAGAGCTGCCATTTCCGTTTCCTGCCAGCAAAGTTTTGGTTTTGCTTGCTTGCCTGCTTTTTCCTTTAAAGCAGAGTCTCTAACGAGCAGCAAAGATGTCTGGTGTTAACGGTCCTCTCCTTCCTGAATGACATACAGAGGGTGGCGCTGAGGGAGGGTTTCCCAACAAAGATGGCAGCTATGCCAGCCAGGAGCGAGGCTCAGACCAGACAGAGCAGCCGCAGACACACGGACACGAGCGTCCTCGCGGCCTGCCTGGCTAAGAGCCTCAGTGTCAGGAGAGAGGGGCTGGCCTACGGGACTCACCCCATGCTTCCAGCGGCCGTCGGGGAGGCCACACCAGCTAGCTGCTTCAGCCCTGGAAGAGGCTCCTTTGTTTGCTCTGAGAATTCATTTAGGATAAATGCGCCTGTGACAAACACGCACACGTATTTTAAAGGGCAACATGAAATTTCTCTGTAAGCCAAACAGAAGCGTGAACTGTGGCGTACGGGACCCAGGGTTCAAATTCTGGCCCCACCATGTATGAGCTGTGCGGCCTTCAGGCAAATGCCTGCGTCGGGTCTCCCATCTTCACCTTCTTCATCGCAAACAGGCCTGAGTGTCTCCGATCGCTTTGGGTACCAACAGCCACGCCCACCTGAGTGCTGTGGGGTCTCAAGCGCCCTCCACTCACATGTTCGTCTTTCTGCTCTAGGAAACTCCCTTGCAAAAGCTGTCAGAGCCCAGGGCTCCCGCCAGCAGGCAAGCCCAGGCGCAAACGGTGCTTCCGACCCTGGGGGTGCACTGAGCACTGCAGGTCGCTCGGAGAACACAGACCCCCACCTGGGGCGCCATGGGTCAGGGGCGCAGGGCTTTTACTGGCTGCACATTCTGCAGGAAGAATCTGATTTCACATCACTTAGGAAATGCACTCGGCTAATGAGGCAATGACGCTGAAATCTGAGCCCACAGTGATGGACTCTGGGTCGGTCTTCACGACATGGCACCGGCTCTGGGCAGCCTGCTGGCCACTCGTGGCTCCTTCCACAGTGTCACCCACGGGCCACGCCCGTGGGCCAGATTGGAGCACGGCAGCCAGAGGCCTCCCAGGACCCAGGCCCACAGGGTGAGCTCAGGTTGACTCCCCCCCGCCCCCTCGGCCCCCGCACGGCGCACCCTTGGGACCCAGGCCCCGCGTCGTTCGCTTTTAATGCGCACAGTGCTGGGCCAGGGCTAAGCCTGTGCCCCGCCGCAGCCACTGTTCCAGCAACAGAACTTATTACTTTGTCCGTATTATGTAATATTTGAGTTGACTAGCACTTAACAGAAGTAACCTATCCCGTTGCCAGCCAAGAACATGGCGAGTACAGATGTGGACGGCAGCCCGGTCTCCATCGCCTTGCGGTGACTGACCGCAGCACACCGTGGGCTGGGGACCCAGGAGCGCGGTGCTCATCCTGGGTGCGGGAGGGTTTGCGCGCGCACAAGACGCTGACCCCCCTTTGCTGTGTCGTGCAGATGGGCAAGATCATGCGTGGACCTTTCATGAAGTTCGTGGCACACGCAGCCTCCTTCACCATCTTCCTGGGGCTGCTGGTCATGAACGCAGCTGATCGGTTTGAAGGCACCAAGCTCCTTCCTAACGAGACCAGCACCGACCACGCCAAGCAGCTGTTCAGGATGAAAACCTCCTGCTTCTCGTGGATGGAGATGCTCATCATGTCCTGGGTAGTAGGTAAAGTCCACTCTTCGGCACCACTCGCTTGAGCAACCTTAGCGGCGCTGGGCGACCCCCCCTTCACCCCCCAGTTACGCAGGCTGCACAGCATGGCAGCGCACCCCCACACTGTGCCGGCCTGCGCTCTGAGCGCGACTCTCTTGGGCTCCCTGTGGGCGCCACAGTTGGCTCTCGCACCTCGTGTTTTCTGCATTTCCAGGAAATACCCAGAAAGACACGGGACGGTATTAACTAGCACCCCCCCCCCCCACGCTGTGGCCAAAAACAGCGCCCACACGTATTCTGGGAGATGTGTGGCTTTAAGCGTAAAAGCCAGCGGATGATTTTCTGTTGAGACTGAAGAGGAACTGAAGTTAAAAACCACTCGTGGCTATGGGCATGCATTAAGGGCCAGCGACTGTACGCTCACTCACGCCACCTCTCTGCGCCACTTCCTCCTCTAACAGACCATCTCCCTCGCAGCGTCCGTGCAGCCGTTACGGAGCGCAGGGCTCCTACGCGGTCGAACGAAACCCAGGACAGTCTTGCCGCGCTGTGCTGCTCAGGTCACAGAGAGGGCCTGCCGGCATCGGCGGTCAAGGAGCAGGTGGTTGGCTAATTCAGTGGCTGAAACCCAGTCAGAAGGAGAGACACAGGCGCGGGAAAGCTCCAGGCCGGAGCACTGTTTACGTCAAGGCCAGAGGGAGCCGCTCAGACGCAGAAGGCAAGGACCCAGCCCAGGCTGCCCGCTGCCCCTGGCTGGACCGGGCCACTCTGCAGGGTGGGCATGGGTTAAGCCACCATGTGCAGACAACTGGCAAAACAGGGAGCAGCCCCAGGAAGGCCACTGAAGGGGGCAAGTGACCCCCGCCCCACACTTGGGGGCACTGGGAGAGCTCACTCTGGAGGCCAGTGGAAGCCAGAGAAGGCAGGGCCTGGTTTGTTTATGGGGTGCCCATCTAGAGAAGAAGCGAGGCAGGGCCCAGAAGGCTGATCCCCAGGGAGGAAGAGGGAAAGGGAAGCTACGCCGGGGCAGCCTAGATCTCCACGCGGCCGAAGGAGAATTCCCCAAACCATCGGGCCGTCCCTGAGCCAAAACAGCCATCACGTGCCCTGCAGAGGCGCCCTCTGCCACTGGCCAGGAGCCTTTTATGGGCAAGGAGGACCTTCGGGGGAGATGGAGAGAGATTTCAGAGCTAGAGGCCGGTGGGCGCGTGTGTACCCGCGCTAATAAAGTGCGGTATGAAACGGCCATGTAGCCGCCTCCTGTGCCAGCCCCGCCCGCGTGTTTGGGTCACGTGACTGTGGGTGTTGGTGTGCTGCGGGCATCATAAAGCGCCCTCCAGTGAACTTACTGTAAGGTGCTCTCGAATCAGTGGATCGAAGTACATGTGTTGTTTGAAGGCTTCAGCAAATTATCGAATTGCTCTCAGGTGAGGCACTGTCGACTGTGGCACTTGTGGGGAGTGGGGGTAGAATTTTGTCACATCTTAAAGTCAGGCTGAAACCTTTCAAACTGATTTTGTTTTGGTTGAAATGCAGTGGCTGGAGTGAAGCTGAATCGGTATCTTGACTCCTTTCCGATACAGGCATGATATGGGCTGAATGTAAAGAAATCTGGACTCAAGGGCCAAAGGAATACTTGTTTGAGTTGTGGAATATGCTTGATTTTGGCATGTTAGCAATCTTTGCAGCATCGTTCATTGCAAGATTCATGGCCTTCTGGCATGCCTCCAAAGCACAGAGCATCATAGACGCCAACGACACGCTCAAGGACTTGACCAAGGTCACGCTGGGAGACAATGTGAAATACTACAACCTGGGTGAGTCTGCAGACTGCAGCTGACCTGAGTGAACGGAAGTGCAGGATGTACTTATAAATTAAGGCTAGCTGCAGTCCAGGAACCAGGCTATCAACTGAGGTTAGCTTCCAGTGTCTTCCGAGTATCTGTATCTGCAGAGGCAGAGGCGTGCTTTCTGCTTCTTTCTTTGATTTTTTTTTTTTTTAACTGGCTGGGAACTTATCCTAGTCACAAGAATCACTGCACTGTCTCTCTGGGATCAACTGGCTAGCTCCATCCCACTGAGACTGCCTGTCATGTTTGGATTAATATGTTTCCTCTTGTCTATCAGAAATAGTGCACATTTGTGTACCATTTCCATCAAAAACATGGGAATTGAAGTTGCTGAGTAAACAGCAACAACAGCCCTACTTCCCATCCAGACTTTGAATTGGAGGAGAAATAAAACAGAAGATCACAGAGGCCAGATCACCCTCTGCGATTAGCAACTTCAGAGTGGCCAGCATAGTTTCGGTCAATGGCGCTGCAATATGGAAGCCCAGATAAAGGCAGACGTAGCCTGCAACTCCTGGATGCCAACAGACAGGCATTTCTCCCCAGAGTCAGGGCCTGAGCGTAGAGAGTCCCCCACGGAGGGTAGGGTGACGACTCCCTAGACAAGGAGGGCGGGTGAAACAAAGGATGCCCTGTTAGCCAGTCCAGTTCACAGCAGAAAAGTCGTTCTGTCTCCCTGGGAGGAAGGTGATAAAGGTACAGGAATAGCCAGTGATTTGCCGGAGGGGAATAGATTCCTGCGGAATACTTATTTCCAACCCGCTGATGAGAATCAGTAAATACTGAATTAACATCTCTGTGGGCTAATTGGCCTGTTACCTAAGGGTTACTGTCTTATTATTGATTCTTAGACTATTTCATTTTAATGTTTTTATTTGAGAAATCAAAGCTACCTATTTATTTTAGTACTTAGAGCCAATGTACTATAAAAATGGAAGTTGCTTTTCATGGTTTCTTGTATTTTTGCCTAATTCTACTTCTCAGAAAATAAGCAAACACAGGCTAATAACCCTATTTTTCTTCTTTCTTACACATCATGGTTTCTTCGTACTGGTTTTATACTGATTTCTTAATTGAGTTTTATGACCCAAAAATGCCAGAAAAAAATCAGAAATGAAGAACTGCTGTGCTTTTATGATAAAAACACACTTGTTTGTGTAACCAATAAAAACAACTCGTACTAAGTTGATGTAACTGCAAGCACTCCACAAGCCAAAAACTGTAATAGTGTAAGCATAGTTTAAGGTTAAGTAATACATGCTATCACTTATTAAATGACTTATTTTCTTTTATTACAGCTTAAGATTAAATAATAAATGCCACCATTTATTTAGTGACAAGCACTTTCTAAACACTGGCCGTATTTATTGAATTCTCACAACAGATAAATGAGGTAGGCATGGTATTAACTCATTTTTAAAGTTGGCAAAATAAATAGCGCTACCAGAAGTTAACTAATTTGTCACAGTTCACCCAGCAGCCTGTAGTTTGAGTTCCAAACCACCACAAGGGCCATTTTCCCATAAATTCCAAAGTTCAAATACAGCTGACAATTAGGAAACCCTACAAGAGACTTCTATTGGGAATTGGGTTGGATTGCTAATATAATTATATTTGTTTCCTAGAAAAGAAGTTACCTGCCTCAATAACATGAAGACAATCACCATAAGGCTCGTGTTTTCCTTTTTCTTTAGCCAGGATAAAGTGGGACCCCTCAGATCCTCAAATCATCTCTGAAGGCCTTTATGCAATTGCTGTGGTTTTAAGTTTCTCAAGAATAGCGTACATTTTGCCAGCCAACGAAAGCTTTGGACCTCTACAGATCTCACTTGGAAGAACGGTGAAAGACATCTTTAAGTTCATGGTCATATTCATCATGGTGTTCGTGGCCTTCATGATCGGGATGTTCAACCTCTACTCCTACTACATCGGTGCAAAGGAAAACGAAGCCTTCACAACGTAGGTGATGCACGGGTCCTGCTGCTAAAACAAGCAGGTTACATAAGTGTCGGCTTCTTAGTTCTAGCCTCTGTTATGAGGTGAAGTTCCTCTTGAGCTAAGTGAAAGGAGTTTTAGATGAGTGAAAGGACTTGAGACCATGACTGCATTTTTGGAGTCAGGTATTACAATAAATTCCTCACAGACACCACTTTATTGTCTCTGTTTTACACCTGGGGAGACTGAAGTGGAGAAGTGAGCCCTGGTGTGGCACGGCTGCTGGTGTAGGGGGCAGAAAGGCGGTGGACTGCCCAGCACCCGGCACCGGGCGCATCCTTGGGAGCTGACAGTGACGGTAGCTGTCTCCCTGTTTGTTTGTTAGGTCTTATCGAGAAGACCCAGTTTACTAATAGTGACCAGAGTTTTGACATATGTTCATTATGGAGACACGTGGTTTGTTTGTAGGTATGCTGGGAACAGAGTATTCGACCGCTGGGCCGTCAGGGTCAGAAGTGCTGCTGAAGCGGGACTGCGGTTCTCCACATCCTAGGCAGGTGCAGCTTATCAGGGAAAAGGCTGAAGCGGAGGCCACTGTCTCGGTCAAGTGCTATGCCTGAAGCATGAGACCCCGGTTAGGTGGTGCAGGAATGCTGGACCCCAGCCGTGGCCTCTGTTCTAGCTGCACCTTTGTCCTCGCTCCTGAGGACGTACACATCCCTTACTTGCCAGGCCTGAGCAGAAGTGCTGCGCCCTAGCAAACTCATTTTTCCGAGTAGCAAGTTAGCTCTTCGCCGCCAGCGCTGTGGACTACTGAAAGGTCAATGCCCGGACTTAGGCGTCTGTTGCACACTTGCTCTGCGACAGACACCAGGTGTTCCATGAGCAAACACTACAGGCCCTCGCAGCAGTGCGGGGAATAAACCCTTGCTGCATCCATTTCACAGCAGGGCAAGTTGAGGCTCAGGAAGCAAAGGCTTTGGTCCCGGACACCCACAGTAACTTGCGAAGACGCGGACCGACGAGTTGTGTCATGCTACGGCTGTCGTTCACTTGTGCACTGATCACTTCATCTCTCTCTTCATTTTCCCCCAGAGTCGAGGAGAGTTTTAAAACACTGTTCTGGGCCATATTTGGACTTTCCGAAGTGAAATCAGTGGTTATCAAAAATAACCACAAATTCATCGAGAACATTGGTTATGTTCTTTATGGCGTCTATAACGTCACGATGGTCATTGTTTTGCTAAATATGTTAATCGCCATGATCAACAGCTCCTTCCAGGAAATTGAGGTACAAGCTCCACACTTCCCTGCCCTCTCGCCTGCATGCACTAACGACTCCAGGCTGTGCAATTTGTAGTTCAGTGCTCACCAACCCCCAGCGGAGAGCAAGTACAGTTTCCCACCTTCGGCCTTTTCCTGTCTTGTGTACTTGTTTACCAGGAATTAGAAACTTCTAACGCTTTCTGTATTTGCTTCCAAATACATAAGCAGAGGATGGGCTGGGCTAGCAGAGTAGGCAAAAGAGAAATGTCTGATTCACTGAAAATAATTTAGAAATATTCTACCAGTGTGGTTTTATGTTTTCTTCAGAAAAGCACTGCTTGTAAGTACTGCTATTCTCCAAATCTTTTTGCACGCGTTCTCAGGTGTAGAGTGAGTGTAAGGTTTTACTCCCACAAGCTGTGCCTGTGTCCGTTCAAACAAGAATAGACAGAATACAGGAGTGACTTTTCAGTGTTGCTGAAAATGCAGGAAAATATATTTATATCTGTCCGTATTTTTGTAAACACAAGCAAGTTTTAGGATCTGCTGTCCCGTGAAGGATTTTCTTTTTCTTTCTTTTTTTTTTTACATTTATTTATTTATACAGAACGGGTACAGGCCAGAGATGCAGAGGGTGAGAGGATTCACCAGGGACAGAGAGGGGAGCAGAACAGGCAGATCGACGAAATACACTGCCGAGGGGAGCAGCGGGCGGGTCAGGAAGGGTCTGCCGCGCCGTGTGAATCTCCTTTGGGGTAGGCGGGGATCGAACTCATGCAGAAGTGTCTTAAGCTTCTTAGTGCTGTGCTTTAACCCGCTGCGCCACCAGGGAGGGCCGCTGTAAAGAATTTTCAAATGGCAGAGAGATGTAGGTGACATTCTGAGAAGACCTGGGGCTGGGGTTGAGTGCTCCGCCCGGCACCCCACCCCACGCCCACCCCACACCCGCCCCTGCCCGCGGCCCTGGTATCTCTGGCGCCTCTCCTTGCTGATTGTGTGTGTCTGTCTAGGACGATGCTGATGTGGAGTGGAAATTTGCGAGGGCCAAGCTTTGGTTTTCCTACTTTGAGGAGGGACGAACTCTTCCTGTTCCCTTCAACCTGGTGCCAAGCCCCAAGTCCTTGTTTTATCTCTTGCTGAGGCTTAAAAAATGGATGTCCGAGCTGTTTCAAGGCCATAAAAAAGGTTTCCAAGAAGATGCAGAGATGAACAAGGTAATGACTTGATTTGTCTTCTCACGCGAACCATTCTAACCGCTGTGCCACAGGCCTCTAGAGCAGGCGGTCCGGGGTGACCTGTCCATCTGTCCCCAGGTAGCCCCTTGGCTCTGCCCTCTGGCCTGTGTCTGCTTGACAGGCACATTCCGCGCCTTTGCTACTTGGCCTGTCCCCACGAGGTGAGTGACATGCTCACATGCTCCGAGGGGGCCCGGAGGGGCAGCTTCTGCCCGCACAGCCCATGTCCCCCCGCGTCAAGATGCTCGGCCAGGAAAGGCGGCGGCAGCTGGCGGGAGTCAGGGCAGGGTGAGACTCAAGTGGCTTCCATGATGAGAGGCAGGAAATGAGCTGCTCACGTGCCCACGGGAGGCCGGACCGGCCGTGGGCAGAGGGCCCCTGGGCAGAGAGCACACAGCGTACGCACCAGAGGCCGTGCCCAGGGGAGGGCCAGCGCGGCTCACGGAGGGCGCTGAGAGCAGACGCTTCCTGGAGTGGGGGCCACAGGGGGCACGTGAAGGGAGCTGAAGGAGCTGACAGGCGCCAGGGCGGAGGCCTGAGCGGAAGGGGATGAACGCCTCTGCAGTTCCCGCGGGACAAGTGCAGTTGTTCTGGATCCTCAAGCTCAAGAAGGGAGGCGGCCGCAAAAGCCGAGGCCGCGGTTTTAGCTCTGTGTGAGAACAAACCTGCCCCAGGTCAACCGGGCACAGAGTGGAAGCAGCGAGGTCCCACCTTGGCCGGTGACAGGGAGTGCTGGGAGACCATCCGGGATGACAGACGTTGTCTACCCCGCGGGCTCCGTCACTAATAGAAGACCTGCTCCAGTCCTGGCCGCTGGCTGCTGGCCGCTAACTCCCGGGGGGTCTCAGGCAGGAACAGACTCTCTGAGCTGTAGTTTGCCAGAGACGTCACGCGTGACGAACCCCAGAGCACGGCGCTGACAGAGCCGCGGGGCTGGGCCCTCCCCAGGGCCAGGCAGGCCCCTGGACATGCTGCCAGCCAGCGCCTCCTCCTGGTGGGTCTGCAGGGCGGGGGCAGCACCACCGCCCGTTTCACTACTGTCTTCTAAGTCCAGTTCCCGGCACTGGTCAGCACTGCCCCAGAGAGGCCCTGGCCCCAGGAAACAGCATTTCCTGAGGGGAGAACCCAGTGAGAACGTGTGTCCGTGACACTGCCTGGAGAGCTGGACCAGGGACGCTGACAACTGGGAGCAGAGAGGGCGGGTTGGCACCGTGACCCCACCGTGCAGTCAGCACCGCGCTCACTTTGCTCTCTGTCTTTAAAAGAGAAACGAAGAAAAGAAATTTGGAATTTTGGGAAGTCACGAAGACCTGTCAAAGTTATCACTTGACAAAAAACAGGTAAGCACGTGCTCGAAAATATGAAATCATACATGTGCTCAAGTCTATCCCTTCAGAAAAAGAGGGGAACGGTCATAGAGCCCGGTGGTGCCGCGCAGCCTGAGCGGGTGGTGGGGCGCGGGGGCGCCAGGCCCTGGCCGTGGCCACTCAGGCCGCGCCGCCCTCACACCTGCGGGAGCGTGGAGAGAGCTGGTGGGCGCTGTCCGTGCGCTGGGGGCAGTGGGCTGGGTGGGACTCGCCGGCCGCGACACCGCCAGCCCGAATGGCGGTTTGGACACGCCGCGTCCCAGCCTCCTGCCCGGCTGCCGCGCGAGGCGCCACCCATCCCGCCGGTACATGACGCCCGCAGCTGCCCGCCCACGGGCCCCCACAGGAAGAGAAATCACAGCAGGGGCGGCAGGCCGGGCTCGTGCCCCCAGGCCCTGCTGCTGGTCACTCCCGCCTCAGCCCAACCCAGCACCCGGCCCCGGGAAAAGGCCGGGGCAGCGCTGCACTGCGCCTCCCTCCTCGTGGGGTGCCCTTTGGTGTGGACGCAGCACCCCGTGACGCGCCCCCACACCCCCCCGGCCATCAGCGCACGTCTCTGAGACGGAGTCAGGGAGGACCACGTGGTACAGGTCATCAGACGACGCCACCGGAATAATTACGTTTGTGACTCTTTGGGCATTACAAAAGCGTCTACACGTACAACATAAATGACTCAGAAAACATCTGCTAAAATAGTCAGCATCCACTGGAGTTCACAGCTTCCCACCAGAGAACACCTGCACTGAGCAAATGACAATAAATCATCAGACCCGGTGGAATTTCACTTTATGACAGAAACCAGACTCTCAAATCAAAACTACGCTGTTTTAGTCACCTGGAAAATACATTTTATGGCCTTAAACAAGGCATGGCTGACCATGCCTGCCCATGCCAGACGCCTTAATCTGGGCTGAGACAACTCCCGCCGCGTGTCCACCTGCCCCCCGCGCTCGCCAGCTCTGAGGTACATGGCATGACGTCCTTCTTATCCGTGAGGACCCCAGAAGTCGGGGCAAGGCGGTCTCCCTAAGGCCGAGTCACCCAGCGACAGAGCCAGAGCTCAAGGCCTGGCCGCGGCTCAGGGCCAGCACCCGTGGCCAGCAGAGAGTGCTGCACTCCGGCCCGCCCTGCCCTGCGTCAGGCCACGGAGCCATGTGGACTGGGCCACCACCGACTCCCACCACATCAGGCGCCCGAGGGCAGAAGCCCAGCGCCCCTCTTCAGGAACAGCGGGCTCCTCCTGTCCTCCCGGGCGCAGCTTGGCTGCAGGTGGGCGCTCGCAGGGGGACGCTGGCACCTGAGAGAGACCTATAGAGGTGGGACACGTGGCTGAGGGGTAACCGGGCAGTGGCCTCCCGCTCGCTCCCCCGCCCAACCAGCGTGCTGTCCACGCTGCCAGCTGAGCCCACTGTGAGCAGAGCTGCGAGCTGGCTGTGCTCGGGGCTGTGCTGGACAGGACGCCAGACGGGAATCCCCTGCCACCCAGTGGTCACACGGTTCCTCTGCACCCTGGGTAAATTGCCCTTCGGCGCTATTCCTTTGTTAGCGAGCCTGCCCTGACTACTATGCACTAGAAACTGGTCAGAACTTGTTTTTCCTGAGAAAAAAAAAAATACTTCCATCCAAATTCATAGCCCGATAGAGCAGAAGTGGCCACGCAGGAATGACCGGGGTGAAAGCACAACTGTCAGTCACTTGTCATGGAGCGACTCCAGTGGTGACATTTCGGCTGTCGCAGCTGAGAGGGGAACCACTGGGCTGAGTGGGTGGGGGCCAGGGGCACGGCTGCATGGTCCCTGGGGTGCAGGATGTTCACCCCAAAGAGCACCATCCTGCCCACAGGGTCAAAAACAGTCCCAGCCCCCACTGAGAGCATGTCAGGGAGCACCTCTGTGGGGGTCGGGGCCAGCTCAAGGCCTCAGGCAGGAAGGTCACCATCGCGCACATTCCTGGGGACAGGAGGCGCTCTGGGCATTCAGAGGCCACCCTGCTGGCCGGCCAGGCCTGCTCTCACCTGTGTCTCGAGTGGGGCTGCACCCAGCTCAGAACCAGCCCAGACTGGATGCATCTCATCAAACAAGGTGCCCAGCAGCACCCACCCCGGGATCTCACTGGGCCCTCAGGGCCACTCTGTCCTTCCTGCAGTCACATGGAACAGCGCTTGGCGCTTGCTGTGGCTGGGGCCTGCTGGTATGGGGAGGGCGCGCCAGCAGAGAACCCCTTCACAGAGCCGCACGTGTCCAGCCGGCGCTGGGCAGGCCAGGGCCGGAGCAGCTGCCTGCCCAGGCCCTGGCTGCCCGGGCCTGGCTCCCACAAGTGGGCCGGGAAGGTTTCGCTGAGGTGCTGCAGTTTTAAGGTGAAATCTAAGCAACGAGGCTGAGCACAGTCCGCGAGCAAAGCACCAGGAAAAGAATGTTCCAGAACAGTAAACACAAAGGCCGCACATCAAACAGAGCAAACGAAAGGAAGCCTGCGTGTGTTCGTGTGACAGGGAGCTGCCGAAGAGAGGTACAGTCCTCTCTGGGGGCGCAGTGTGTTGAGAGCCTCCAAAAAGACCCCAGAGAGCTGCACTCTTCGCCTCATGTCTCCATGAACACCTCGTGCTAGTGGCCTCTACTCAAGGAGGGGGCCACTGTGGGGTCATGAGCAATTGAAGAGGAGGCGCAGAAGCAGGTCCCCAGAGACCCCCTCTGAACTCCAACGAGGAAGCCGTCCTCACCCGCATGCTCTACGGGAACACCAGGAAAGCAAAGGGAACTTGAACCGGGCTGTCCACTCAGCGATGCCCCTGGTGTGAGGCATCACTGGAAAGCCAGGAATATCACATCCTTTAAAACAAACATGAAAGTCATGGTATGGTTCTATACACCTGTGCTCAACTTGCATTCCTTCCATGCATCTGTAAACTGCTGGACTTGGACAGCTGGACAGGGACTTGGCCCTGACTGGACCCTGCGGGGCTGCGGGGTGCGGCTGCTCCCCCGCCGGGCCTTGGCCGCTGCGGCAGAGCAGGTTCCGGCAGATGCTGTCTGAGGACCCAAGTGCATCTCTTTGGCCAGTCACGAGGCCGCATCACAGCTGTCTGTGCCGTCAACTCGAGTGAAAGTACCTGGCTCTTCTGCTGACATCTGTAGACAGGGTGGAAGAAGAGGGAGCCTTGCCCGAAGGAGGCCTTCTTGGCATTTCAGCGCTGTGTGGTATCTCTGCGGATCCCATCCTCTCGCCGTGTGCTGTCACCACAGCTAGCTGAGGCACCTGCTCTGCCCTGAGCTGAGCCGTGCGGGGGCTGCAGACGGGCGCCAGCCCCTGGGTGCGCGGCCGCTCTGGCTGGGCATCGCAGCTCTGCAGCTACGGGAGGGCTCCGCTCAGGCCCCGGGCTACACGCGACGTCCTGCAAACCCATCACGGCCCCTTGACGACAGACGGCGCGACCGGAGCAGCCGCCGTGGAGCTGCCTCCCCACGTGAGGTCAGCTTTCCTTCGGGAAGTCCGGCACCCTGTTGTCCCCTTGTGCCCTGAGTGTGGCCTGTCACCGCCCGCTGGCAGGTGAGGCTGATTCTTTGCTGCTCACCTGCCACGCGGGCCTCTAGCCGGAAGGGCTGCGCCAAGGGCGGCTACACACACCCGAGTCCCAGGGGGCGACTACTCCGCCCCGGCCTCACCCTGGCGCCTCAGCAGAGGCCCACAGGCTGCACAGTGCCGCTGAGGGCACTGCCCTGGCCACCTCACTCCAGGCTGCGCGCCCTGACAGGTGTAGCTGGGCAGGTGAAGCACGCCTCTCCAGGCCCCCCGCCCCCGCAAGGCCCCGAGCTGCGGTCAGCCTGGAAGACAGCAGGTTCACATCGTTTACGCGTGTCACTGCTAAACCCCGTCACGTTACTTAAAAGAAAACTAAATGAGAATGACCAGCTCGTTTCCAATTGCAGCTTGGTCACAGCAAGCAGTCCAGCATAAGGAGCTCAGAAGATTTCCAGCTGAACAGTTTCAACAACCCTCCAAGGCAGTATCAGGTGAGCGTGACTGTTTCGTAACATTTAGAATTTTAAACTTTGGGTGAACGCAAACTATTACATTTTTGGGCGATATCAAAGTAGGGCCGCAAGTCAGCAAATTCTCACTGAGCAGCCGCACGCTGGGTGTGAGGGCGGGCCGGCGGCCCTGCGGGGCAGCAGGCTGCCCTCACAAAGGCCACACGTGGTCCCGCTGAGCTCAGGCCCCACCACTTGGAAGTAAAGGCGAGTTACCTTTGATGACTAGTCCAGTGACGGGCAAGTAAGTATTTTACGTGTATTCTGATGTCATACAAACGTATACGTGATAGCATCAGCGCAGTCTAGAGGAGTCGTTTTTCTAGTATAGCAGTTTTTCATCCCACAAAACATATACTCACGTTACTTTTGATGGCTGGATGACTTATTAAGGGGGTGGGGGGAGAGAGACAGCAAGTGCCCACGCCCTCTGCCCACCGCCAGAGCCCGTCTGACTCCCTCCTTCCAAGCGAAATACCGTCAAACAAATTAGGCTGGGCTGGCTCAGTGCGCCCTCCCTCTGCGTGGCCAGTCAGAGCCAGGCCATGGGAAGCCTGCACCTCACCGGAGAGAGGCCACGTCGTCTCCCCAGGACTGTCACTTTCGTCTTTGACAGCCGCCTTCTAAAGCGCGTCCGAAAGGGGGTGACTCGGAGATCCCACCCACTGAGGCTCCCATTCTCAGGGGAAGCTGACGTGGGTTTCTTTCCCTGTCCAGAAAATAATGAAGAGGCTCATCAAGAGGTACGTGCTGAAAGCCCAGATTGACAAGGAAAGCGACGAGGTGAACGAAGGTGAGCGGGACAGGGGGCCGGGAGTGTGGCTTCAAGGCCCAGACACGAGGGCACCTGGATGGGCGCATCCCCCACGGGTCGGTGCCACTTGCTGACAGAGCTGTTGCTGCTTTTGTGGGTGGCTTGGCGGGAGGGGAAATGCTTGGGAAAGGTGAGGGGCTGGAGACCCCAACCTGCCTCCTCATCCACTATCTTAGCTGAGAACCCAGAAACTTCCTCCACCCGGGAGGTGCGACCTGAGGGCGCAGAGGACAGGAAGTGGGGCAGGCTCCAGCCTGGCCAGGATGGTAGTTTCTCTGCACGCGGCATCTGGTGCTGACGTCTCACCACTCTTGTTTTTCAAAGGGGAACTGAAGGAAATTAAACAGGACATCTCAAGCCTCCGTTATGAACTCCTTGAAGAAAAAACTCAGAATTCAGAAGACCTAGCAGAACTTATTAGAAAACTTGGGGAGAAGTTATCCATGGAACCAAATCAAGAGGAAAGCAATAGATAATGCAGACTTCCTTTAAAGGTCGTGTTTATTTGTCCACTTGAAGCCATATTACTTTTCCAATTTATTTTTTTAAGTGCCAATGTGACAACCCTTTAAACAAGGGATAATTGGAAGATAACGTGGGTCATCCTATTCTTTGGGACCCTCATGCTTAAATTCTTGGTGGTTCAATGTCATTAAGCTAAAACTCCAGACCGTGCGCAGGTTATGGCCCGCCGCGGTGCTGGTCCGGCAAAGTCCGGCCGCGACCGGAGCTGTTCCAGCTGGCCGGGCTCTCCCCCGCCGGGATTTCAAGGTCCGTTTGCTCCTGCCCATCTCGCGGTGGCGGCCTGCATCCCGCAGTTAGAGCAAATCATCTCTGGGCAGACGCTGGCTTCATCACTGACCACAACCCCCACCCAAGACTGTGACGGATCATGTCTGTGCAAAATGGAGTCAAATATTCCCTAAATTTGCTGACTGACCCCTCTAGAATGCCGTACAGGGAAACCTGCTTCTGAAGTGACGCCGGGGTCAGCGTGCACATGCGTACGAGCGTGTGTGCGTAGAAGCAGGTGAAATGTCTGTCCGGCTCTTTCGCAACCGGTATAGACACTGAGAAACTCATTATATTATTTTCTGTTGTGGCTGAAAATTACTTGCCCAATAAGAAGCCTCTGCTAGCAAAGGCCCAAAGCCCCAAACAACTGCTCTTTGGCCCAGTTACAGCGTAATCATTTCTGAGGGCGCTTAGGTGAATTTCCACACTTGGCATCAATTGTAAAGCGAATCCGGTGTTGTGGGACTCGCAGCTGCTGACTGGCTTCGCGCTCCTCCACACGGAGACTGTGGTGGAATCCGCACTCGTGGGCGCCGCCGGGTGGTGTCACTCCCGGTGACGCCAGGAGGCGACAGCCTCGGGGGAGAAGTTCCTGTTCGCCAAGGTCTAGCTGGCGCGGGGCACGCCCGAGGTCCTGCTCTACCGCCAACAGAGACCTCAAGTGCAAAGCCCGGCTTGTTCTTAAAGAGTAAAATGGTCACAGAAAATCTCCAATGCTGATTTAGTGACATCAGAGAACTTATGTGACCAGATCAGAAAATGGAGCTGAAATTTGATATTGGGTGGTTCTGTGTTTGAGGGATTCCTCACAGACGACTTACCTGGGGACACAGAAAAGTACGTTCCCAAACATCTGTGCGAATCGGAAGCTGGGAAGCCAGTCTCTGCCACGTGTGCTGCCCAAGTCCACGCCCTGCTGCCCGCGGGCGGCTGGCCTCCGTGCCGGGCCAGCTCCGTGGTAGAGTGCGGCCTGGCTCAGGGGTCTCCAGAAACAGACTCGGACCCCAGCGTCTCCACCGCCGCAGGAACCTGATGGGGCTCGGGAAACGCGGCGGGCCGGACGGTGGCTCCCGGAGAGGGCCGGCCGCCACGTACGCCGCGCAGCCGGCCTCTCTAAGGGCCACTGCCTCCAGGGCGGGCAGACGGCATCTCTTCGCATCGCCCTTGAATTGGAACGTGGAAAGAGAAACTCTGTCCCGACAGGCTAACTGCAGGCCGACTGCCCACGGCCGCCACCCTGGCCCCGACCCAGGCTGCTGGCAGCATCAACGGTAAAAATAAAGTGGCTGGAAGCTGAAGTGCCTTTGTCCAAGTGCTTGCCCTGGGGTCAGTCTCCTCTCAGACCTGGCGTCCAGGAACGCTGCTGCCACCGCTGGACAGGACAGCGGCCCTGGCCCCCGGGCCCCGCCTGCCCGCCCGCCACCCATGAGTGCGGACACGCAGCACCCTGCCCGCCCGTCCCGCCCTCGTTGTGCTCCCTGCCGTTCTCATCACCCCACGCAGCAACACACACACGTTTACTCTGGTTTCATGGATCATATCAAATAAAACGTAAGCAAAATGCATTGCCAGAATCTTCCTTCTGCTTAGAGTTTTGTTAGTATTAAAAGACTAGGAAATGCGTGTGACCTCAAGGAGCTTGCACCCCAAAGGCAAAGACAGCATGGGGGCACTGAGCCCCTCCCTTGGCCGGGCGCCTCCATGCATCAGCCCCTGTGACCAGAGGCCGAGGGGAGCACTGACACTCGCCCCTTAGGAACAGAAAGCAGAGGCTTCGGCGGCTGCGCAGCTGCCTGAGAACACACGAGAGGGCAGCGCCCGCCACGCGTCCTGCGGTCTTGGCCCGCGGCGGCTGCGCCCGCCCCTCTGCGCAGCCCACCTCCACCTTCAGGCGGAAAGGCCCAGCTCCGCCACACAGTCACTGCAGACGCAGAGAAGGCGGGGGGGGGGGCGCAACAAGGCAGCGGGCCTGCGATGGATGAGCACGCGGTACTTGAAGGGCAGGGAGCGCGAGCAGGCCAAGAGCTGGACCCGAGGACGGCACACTGGCGCCACCCCACACTCGAGGACTTGGTTCCGTGGAGCCGGTTGGGGAGCACAGGCGGACCCCCATGCTCTCTGGCGTTATCTGGGTGCCTGTCCCGACTCCCAGGCTGCTCCAGGAGGACTCACAGCCTGTGAATGTAAAACGAAAGCGAAGCTGCCACTGCGCTTGAGCCGGCATCTGGAGACCACGTGGAAACAGCGGCCACCGCGGGCTGCCCATCAGCCCCTCGGACTCTGGGGCGGACCTGTTTCAGGCCAAGAGGTGCCCTCCGTGGGTCCATTCTGAGTGTCCCTGCAAGACAGGCGCCGCCCCATCTCGGTTCTGGCCACGCCGTGGTCTGTGCGGCTCTGCAGAGCCCCCAGAGCCTGGTCGCCTTTGCCCTGACGCACAACGTGCAGACTGAGGGTGCAGACGGCGGAGGCGGACGTGAGCCCCGGCCCAGGCCATGCTGCTCGGACGGACACGCCGGCTAGCGTCCCAAGAGCGCGTTCGTCGGAGTTCGCGCGACGCGAGTCCACTACACTCCTGCGTCCTCAGCACTCTGGCGGCGCCCAGGTTCCTGGCATCGCGTGGGTGGAAGGCTGCTCGGCTCCCCTCAGCCCCCACCCCACGCCCCCCCCGGTGAGACCCGGGGTTCAGAAGAGCTGCGGCCGTGGGGCGCGGGGGCAGACGGCCCTCCAGAGCTCACCCCAAACGCTGCACCCGGCTCCTGCGGCATCTCGGTGTGAACGCTGGGGTGCTGCGCCCGGGAGGGGCCCTGCAGGGCGGCAGGAGGCCCCGCGGCCGGCCAGCACTAAGCAGGCCGCTGAACTGTTTCCAAAGACAAAGCAGCTGTTCTGGCTGGTGGCCCACGTCCACGACCCCGCGTGGCGCTAACTGGCAGAGAAAGGCCTTCGGGCGACACGCTGGGTTTGGCCGCTCTGCGCTCACCTGGCCCCGAGAGCCGGGAGCCCGCGCCCCCCCAGCAGAGGTTGCCCAGACGCCCCGACCCCCAGGAGGGGCCTTGCGGGTCTGCTGCGGGCCTGACGCGGTGCCTGTACAGACGAGCAGACTCGGCTAAGGACCGCGGCCCCTCAGGATCTCACTTGGCTCCGGGCCCATGGAGCTGCGACGTCAGGAGCCCGTCCCCAAGGAAGGCAGGCCGCGCCGGCCTCCCAGCGCACTGCTGGGCGCGCACCTTCCCTCTGCCCGCCTCGGCCAGCGCAGCCTAGCTCCTGTTTGTGTTAATCCCAGAGGAGCGACCGTGTCTCTCGTCTGAGACAGAACGGCTTTCAGCGCGAGAGGTGCTTTGCGTGCACTCACGTCACTGCCCACCCACTCCGCAGGAAGGGGCTGGAGGAACCACAAACCCAGGTCAAGCTGCTCCTGCACATGGGCCGCCAAGTCAGGGAAAGAGCAACCTGTCTGGCGTTCCCAGGCAGGGCGAGCTGACAAAGGCATCAGTGGCCGCGAGGGGGCGCCCTCGCCCCTCTGCGCTGTGCTGCAGAGACTTGGCCACTGGGCCCGGGCAGTCTGCCGGAGTGGCCTAAAGGAAGAGCCGGAGAGGGCCCACTGCTGAGGACAGACGGCTGTACAGTTTCTGCTTTGCACAAACTACAGGCGATCAGTAGGAAGGTTCCCCTTGAAGCAAACAGGGAACTGAGTTTTGCAGACACAGGTGACTTTGACAATGGAAGATTTTTTAACTGACTAGAAAATATTTCCAACGGCTTCAGGAGCCCCAGAGGGAAGTCAGGAGCTCAGACTGCCCTCCGTGGAGTAGGGTTCCCTCAGCCCAGGCAGAGAGGGCTGGTCTGCGAATCCCCAGGACCCAGGCTCCCGCCCCGCCCCCGGGGCCGGCTCCTCCAGGCCCCGGAGGAGCTCAGAGTGCGGCCTGCGCTCTGGGGAGACTCCAAATCCAGCTGCAGCCCCTCCACCGCCAGCACCTCACTGGACGAGGGCGTCAAGCTGTGGACAGCCCAGGACTGTCCAGGGAGCATTTAGCAACCGCCAGCTGAGTAAGCAGACAGAGGGTCACCCCGCCCGCCCAGCCCCAGCCCCAGCCTGCGGGTGCCGCCCCTGGCGGGCAGTGTGAGGTGCAGCTTGAGAGCAGTTTCAGACGCAGCGGCCTCCTCCCTGCCGACTGGGCTCCGGTGCGCAGGAGCGCGGGGGCCACGAGTGCCAGGTGACCGCGAGCCCCGGACAGCGGGCAGGAGCACTCTGGGAGACGCGGATGGGCACAGCTGCCGTGTGTAACTGCTGCCCCAGAGGGCGGTGGCTGCCCGGCCCCCACCTGAGAAAGAGTTAGGCCGCAGGTCTCCGTGCAGGGATGCGGGCGAGCGCGGGCGAGCAGCAGAAGCGAGCCGCGCCCTAATGGGTTTCCAGAGCCAGGCTGATTGACTGTCGAGAGAAGGAACGGCTCGTCCTGCCGCGGCCCCGCACAGGTAATTTGTGACAGCTGCAGGTCGCGTTCCTCGTTTTCTGTCTGACAAGGCTGAGGAGCGGCGGAGGCTGGTGCAAACCCAGGCTGGCTTGCAGAGACTGCACTGAGGGCCCCCGCCTGGGCTTTCGGGGGTGGAGAGGAGGCGCCTGCCCACGTATCTGCCAGCCCCCTGGCAGGTACCCCCTGTCGGTATCTGCAGCAGACAGAAGCTCCATGTCCTGAGAACGGTCCTTGAGCAGCCCCTGGGTGCCCTCCCCCGTCCCTCCCCAACAGGCGGGCGGGACGGGATGGCTGTGGCCAGGCGCTTGGCCATAGCAGAGTGGCGAGAGGCCTGAGGCTGCGCAGACAGAGGGAGCCGCACTCTCCACAGCGTGGAAGGCCATGTGCGGATCCCCACCAGCCCAAACCTCCCCTCAGGAGCTCCCACTGCACAGTGGGAGGGCACAGCCCAGGCCCCCGGGGGAGGGGGAGCCACGAGGGTCTGTGAGCCCCACTTATTCCACGCCCAGTGTATTTTTCTTACAAAACTGTCTGTGATCATTTTATTTCCTTTGGACATTAAAAACCATTCCAGACAGGACACTTGGCCAGCGTTCTTGTCCTGCTGGGCGGCGGTACCCATGTCAGTGCTCCACACAGGTGAAGCGCGGGTGAACTTGCCTCAGGCAGAGCAAGCCCCCAGGCCCTCCTGCTGCTGTGACTGCCTGGTCTCCCCATCGTCAGTCCCCTCCCGACTGCCTGCTGTATACCCCTGCAGGCAGGCTTCCCCTATACGACTCCCCACTTTCCTAAGGGAAAGGGGCAGAGGGACCCCGGGTTAGGGAGCGGCCACCTCTGTGTGTCTGGAAAATCCCTCACCCTGGCATCATCGACACCCTCGGCACTTCGGGGAAGGAAGAAGCCTATGGAAACAGACCTCCCAGTCCCCGGAAGCAAGCTCCCGAAGCGGCCTGCGACTCCCGGGCACCCACTGTGGGGCAGCAGCGCCCTCCGGGGGCCCTGGGGCGGGCCTGGAGCCAGACTGCTGCAGCTGCTGAGCCAGCAGGGGCCAACCCTCCACCCCAGGCCCCTGGGGGCTGTGTGACTGTCCTGCCAGCTCTGAAATCCTTCCCGCTGGGCCTGACATTTCCCCTGCTGGTACCCGTCCCGCCAATCTGAGTGGACAGGAGCCCAGACTCCAGGGAGGGCTGACGGAGGGGCCCCGGGGCCGCGCTGGGCCCTGGAGGGGTGCCGGCTCCAGCCACTGACATGCCAGCTTCAGAGGTGCAGACAGGGCCCTGCTGGTGTTCGTAGAAACGGACAGTTGACCTGCAGAGACGAAGTCTGACCGAAGGAGGTATTCTGGGCCACAACCCAACCCCTTCTCTGCCAAGTGAGTTCAGACTGCTTTCCTCGGCCGCCCGGAGCTTGGTTTCTGAGGGGACCCAACTGAATCTGGGCAGAAGGGCATGGGTAATGGCAGCACCCTGCCCATCTGGCAGCATTTAAAGCTGAGGACTGGGCCCAGCTCAACACTCTCCCCTTGCCAGAAGCGCATCCGGGCCTGAGAAATGGAAGGATTCCCAGCTGCCGCTCTGCGGCAGGCCAGGAGGGAGCCAGGAACCCAGCGCCCACCTTGGCCCTCTCCAGCGCGTCGCTGCTTCTGCTCTGAGCCTTGCCTGTGAGAGCCCTGCAGGCCCGGGAGGCACCCCTGGGCGCGGGTGCAGGCTGCTTCCCTCTGGAAGATTCACAGCATTGTTCCTTATAGAAGACTGCAGGAAGCCTCCACCCACATGGTGGGTGGGGGGAGGGGTGCTGGAGGGAGGGGTGCAGGCCCGCTGGCTCTGGGCCCACTGCCCCTAGGGTTTGGTTTTGCAACTCTGAGGAAAGACGGGCTGAGACTTGGTTAGTTAC